GGATGGAGGACAGTTGACTATTTTTTACGCACTTGTCGCCGCCGCACCGTCTTGCTGGCCCTCCCTAGGCCTCTCTCCACGTCTTGGCTCATCACAAAGCTGTCCGGGCTCTACCCGGACCTAGTGCTGAGTCCACGGTTTCACCCCTCTCACGTCACAGCCGCCACGACTCCCCCCTCCCCCGTTTGCCAAGTCGCGCATGTTCCAACTCTAATTTAGACAAACCCAAGTTCACAGCAAAATCTCTCCTGAATTTCATAAACCGTCGAGAATGATCTCCACTGTGAGTGACTATATTCTTGTCCCTCTGTTCCTTGTCGCGTGGCGATGGGGGACCTGGTTGCAGGTTGGTCAAGTCATTGCCTGGTGGGTGTTTAGTGGAGGTCAGGAGCGGACTGTGCAAGTTCAACAGTGGGTTATGGAAATGGTGGAAAGAATAAGAACGAGAGCAAGATTTCAGGGTATATCCGTGGGTGTGCAGACTGAAGCCGTGCAGAATGACAAGAAAGCGCCTGAGAAAGTTTCCGAGAATAAAGAGCGACCATTTTCCGTTTCTGGGGGGTCTGTTATTGCACCTGCTTATCAATGCGAGAAAGGAGAGCAGGAGAAGAGGGTGGATGGGTCCAAAACGTATGCTGCCGGTGTACCTCCTATGTGGGATGTTGATTCATCATCGGATTCGAATTCGACTTTGGTGAATCCGGACGGGGATGTAGAGTGGAAGGAGGCGGTTGGGGTGCTTGCGGCTATGGCGGCGGCCGCTGCTGATAAAGAAGATGAGAAGTCGCAATCTCTCCCATCGTCGGTGAAGAGTGAGCAAGTAGATGTGGAAGAAGATAAAGATGCCGAACTTTTAAGTTTTACGCAAAAGATTCGGCAAATGTACGGCCATGATCCGCTTCTCAAAACCTTTAGCGATGCCCACATTTCAAAATTCGTTGTTGGATCTGGTGCCTTTAGAACACGAGAGGAAGATGCTATAAAAGCCCTAGAATCTACACTTGAATGGCGGCGGAAGAATGACTATGATTCCCTCTTTACCGAAGACTTTTCGGACATTGAACGAACCCGCAAACTCTATTTTCACCCTCACCCAACCAAAGATGGCCTGCCTATTTTGGTTTGGCGAGCGGCACGTCACGTCATGTGCAAGGACGAGCATGAATTGCAGCGAACAGTTCGATACCTGATTTCGGTGGTGGAAAAGGCCAAAAAGAGCGGAAAATTGGATACACGATTGACCCTGCTTATATCTCGTTTGGACATTCTCCCCCAAAACAAGGATCCAGCGCTACTCAAATTGCTCCTGTCAACATTCCAGACTCACTATCCTGATCATCTGGAGCGGTTGTACATATTTCCAAAGACGGTCCTGCTGACTATTGGATGGAACGTTGCAAAAGTATTTTTGAGCTCTGACGTGCGTGGACGAGTGGAGATACTTGGTGGAGATTGGAGAGAAGTGGTCAGGAGGGAGGTTGGGGTGGATGGGCTGGGTGAGGAGGCTATGGAATCTAAATCGGGTAGTATTAAAGAAAAAGGCAAGGAAAAGGAATCTGAAGTAAAAAAGAGGTTTGGTGTCAAATGGTAATCTTGATAAACTGAGCACATACGAGTGCCATAGTATTTTTTGTATATTTTATGTAGTAGCATAATTAGGGATGGCCTCTCTCTCTATCTCTGTGCTTTGGTTGGGCCTTGTGCAGTTGCTGTTGTCGTCCTTTGACTGCCCTTTATTAGTGTTATTTTTTTTTTTTTTTCGTTCGTGCTTGTAGAATTAATTCAACTGATATGCCATTTCCTTTCCTGTATGATTACGATATCTTGGCGAAAAGCAACTTCTTCCTCCGTATTCCTCCGATGGCGAAGTCTTTTGACAGATACCTACTCCCTTCCCAGCACACTCTTAAACTCGTTTGAAATATGCTCAGTCTAAAACTCATTTCACACTTTTGTTTGCTTATCCAAAAATCTCTTGAATGTTGAAATGCGTGTTCACCAGACGAGTGGAATTTAAAATGAATTAAAACGCCGCAAGGGAATTTGAATCTGTGCCGCAGTCGTTGGCGCGCATCCCTTTGCGGCCAACCCCTTGTCTCAGCCCAACGTTTCAGATAACTAAACTGAAAGAACACTTTTTTCTTGTAAGTTGAACGAATCCCCAGTTTTAGAGAGCCGTGTGCTTTCCCCCTCCTCCTCCCCCCAAACTCCCTTCAATTACGGGCTTTAATGGTTTGAAAAGATAATTCCGTCTTCTGGTTTGGGGGAGGAGTTTTCTGTTTTTGTTTTGGACCAGTTTTTAGTCAGAAAAAAAAGAAAATCACAGAGGATTGTTTAAAAAAGAGTGGAGGAAAACGGAGCTTTTGAGCGGTAGTGTAAAGAGCGCGAGAGAGCGAGAGAGAGAGCGAGCGAGACAAGGGAAGCAAACAAACAAAAGGCTTCCGACAAGTCTCGTTGTTGAGAGCGAAACCAACGTACGGGAAAGGCCCCCAACAAAACTCGATTGCAGAGACGACAAGAAGGAATTGTCACACGAGAGCGATCTTTGGTCGGAAGGAAAACCCCAGCAAGAGCAAAGCAAGCAGAGTCCAAACAGCTGAAACCACAGAAACTTTCCAACAAGAAGAAGGTCTCTTTTTTCAGCTACCGCACGCACGCGCGCTCTCGCACTTGTTCTCCTTCCCTCCGTTTTATTTTATTTGTTCAAAGTAATCGACCCCCCGTCATCGAACTTTTTACCACGGAGTGCTCCGCCAGAGGTACCATAAGAAGACGGAACAATCCATCGTCTGCCTCATCGCACACTTTTCCCTCCCATTGACTTGTACCATCGCTGGTCACTTAAAAAAACCTTCCAACCTCATACTCGTCGTTTGAAAAAGAAAAAGAAAACCAAAAAACCCCTTCAACCTCAAATGGCAAATGCGATGGCTCCACTGTCTCCACCTTCGCCTCAATCCTATACAACAACAACAACAACATCTCCCCGCTCTCGTTTACGGAATCACAGCAACTTGAAAATCAGTCTTCCCTGCTCTCTTGCCGGTCATCAAACCGAATTGAACACACCGTCGTACACCACACCGTCTCCGACTCCGACCCCATCTTCTACGGAATCTCACCTAGCCCTCGGATCCATCACGCCCCCCGTTGAAGCAACAGATAATGGCTTTGAAGTCGAACTCTACGACCAAGGCCCTGCACTCATTTTACCCGGGCTATACCTTGGGTCCCACTACACATCGCAATCCCAGAGCACTCTTGCTCAACTCGGTATCAAAGCGGTCCTCAACGTTGCTGAGGAGCTCGCCCCGCAAATAATACCACCGTCTACACCCAGCACAACAGTCTCCATGTACCCACCCTCACCATCTACACCAACCGAAAGTACCTATCTCCACCTTCCGCTCTCGCACATCCCAGACACACTTGCCCCGCACATCCCCACCGCTATCAAATTCATAAACCAAGCCATAACGCAAGGCCACCCAGTGCTTGTTCACTGCTCCCAAGGCGTTTCCAGATCAGCAGCAATTGTCATTGCCTATGTCATGTGGGAGCGCGGATGGAATGTCCGTGACGCGTATATCTGGGTCAAAGAACGGGCCAACGGGATATGTCCAAGTGTCGGGTTTGTGGGTGTTTTGGTAGAGTGGGAACGGACTGGAATGGCCATATAAGACCATTTATTCATATTTGGATTCTATGAGCTTACCAAAACGTTTTTTATTTGTATATACATTTTGCACTTTCCCTTTTTTTTTGTAAATAGTTTGGGGGAGCGGACAATCGAGTTTGTAGGGTTGGTTTGGATGATAATACCATTTGATGGACACGTACGCCATCTTTTTTTTAAACAGCTTTCCTTGTTTCCTTTTACATCTTGATCGCCTGTGATGACTCTATATTTGTCTCGTTGACTCTTGTTGCTGTCTGGCGGGATTCGCACGTCTGGAGAAAGACGAATGCTTTCGAGTGCTGATTGGCAGACAACTGCTGTCATTCCAATGACCACAGTCAAGACGTACCACGCTTTTGCCAAGATCCTCCATTTTTATACCGTCCTGAATATCGTGCAATCGACATAGTAACTACCCAGAAAGGCGATATCCCTTAATTTGGACGCTGGAGTCGATCAGAACACTTGCCACGTTTTAATGGGCGGACAGATTGTCTACGCTGGTTGTTCCTAAGGAGATTTTCCCAAAACCCCTGCTCAATTTAAGAACAGCTAGTCATAGCTCAACAAAAGGTAAGCTCTTGCCCATTTCTACATATTAGTCACTGTCTTTGACTATTCATCGGTTGGGGGTCAGCCATAAACTTGGGAGGTACAGCATGAGTAATCTAAGGATTCAAGAATGATCAAACATACTGTGCATTTGTGATTGTCCAGACAACCTGTGCAGAAATGCATGAACAAGTATGGGCACCAGTCAATATCATCAAGTTAATTCAAAAGTTTATCTTCATCGACCCAGTCATAGTTGTTATTTAAAGTGTGTAAAGTACGCAAAATTCGGTGGTCTAGCTTTGTTAAATAGATTTAATTTCACTACGATGGTAAACTTTCCGTATGGTGGCTTTGATTGGAAAATGCCTGTAATGAACAGTACATGCAAAAAACTATTAGCCATTTTCCAGATCCTTTCTGTAGCAAGAACTGAAACTGTAACTTCTTGAAGAGTTTTGGGATCAGATTCCCTGTGTTCAATAAAGATCTAAAGAATATCTTTGATATATACAAGTATTTTCGGATGCTACCTCACATTCTTGGTCACGAATATTGTAATGACTGTACTGTGTCAAGCCAGATGGGTTAGTGTCTTGAACTATTCTAGTTCGGAATTCACATCTGCTCTTGCATGCACCCTTTCAGACGGAATGTCCCTTTTCCCTCCCCATCGTCGCGTAACGAAACTCCACAGCATCGAATTTCTGCAGGATAGCTACGTTTTGTTGCAAGCTTAGGTGATTGGGGCTTGACGTGAACGAGCTCAACAACGGTGTAGACCTACCATCTTGTGAATCCCACGATCATGGGTTAACCCTCAGACCATTAGATTTGTCGACTACTTTCACTCAAAAGTCACATCTGATGATTCAAGTAATTGTCATTGAAAATGACTCGGTCTATCGACAGCACAGCACAGCACAGCCTACGAACCTCCCCAACCCCAACAAAAAACCCCCCCGTTGCTTCAAAGAAAACATTTCGTTGCAATGAAATCAAATTGGCAAGTCCCGACTGCGTACGTAAGCAGCTCACGCGTACGTGTCACGGCACAGTCATCAAACTTTATCCACGTGACAGCACACTTAAGTGTTCCTTTTGGCACTTTTATTAAACTTGGTTTCTGAAATTTGTTTTTGGCGACCAAAAAGGAGGGACCTTTGGCTTTATTTGCAATCAATTTGCGGAGAAGCTTGATGGGCGGAAGCGGCTACCGAAAAGCGGCTACAAGGAATTGCAGGGAACCTCTTTTTTTATTTGAAAACTCTTAGTATCACTCCAATCCTACTGGCCGCCATTTACAACGGACATACGCTGCCTCATACAGAGTAGTTGAAGAAACCTGACAGCATCATGTTGGCTGTACAAACAATGACACACGCAGCAAGTCTAACTCACGAAGAGATTCATGGGGCAGAAGCTGTAGAGGTTCCAGTGGTACACTTGAGTATCTCGAAAATACTGTCAGGGACAGTCACCGTTCCGGACCTACCCCACCTGGAAGCCACTGGCCAATACAAACTGTTAATCACATCACTTTGCACGTTTGTACGAGATGACAAACGTATCTTCACTGATCCATGGGTGAAATCATGGTGTGCAAAGCGATGGCGGAACTTTTTCATCGTTGAGGCTGCAAAGGATCCGCGTTCGGTTACTTGGGCGACCTATGGGAATTGGATTCAGAATGCAGTGGGATTTGGTGATACGCGGTGTCCGGAGCAAAAAGTTGCCGAAAGATTCTTGAAGGGAACTGGACCAGAAGAGTGGATATGGGCAGTTCAAGGAGAGGAAAACATTTGGTCAGAGCAAGCAATGTCGTTACGGGGGGGCGTAGCACCCTTACCTCCCGTTCAGATGCCCGAATCCGTGGCAAAGGAAACGGGATGCATGTTTTGCCCTGGCTTGCTAAATGGCCTTGTACCTGTCCGTGCCTTTGACGAAGGATTCCCAGCTCTCGAACGCGACCACAACCTCTCCATCCTCCGTGTCGATGCCCACCCACTACGAGGCTGTCATGACAATATGGCCGATTACATTAATGCCTTTAAACACGGAATCGGTCTCTCGGCTTCTTGCGCACCTCACATTTCCCCAGAACACGCATCCCTGAAAAAGTTTTGTATATCTTATTCGAAGGGAACACCCGATCTCCTGACTTTCCTCACTCAACACCCATCGTACGCGGAATCCATCACTTCCCTTTTTGTTTGGGCTGGGGCGGTGTATGGATCTTATATTGCGGACTCGGCAGCATCTCTCGTCACCAAGCTACCTGTTGATCATTCCATGGGTGCGCTAATACGGGCTGTGGATCTGCTATGTCCTGTGGTCGATTTAAGGAGGATTGGGCCTCTTTCCAGGATCAATGATATTCGGGCTACAGATGCTGTGAAATCGCTGATGACTGCGGAGCGAACTCAGTTCATGAAGGAGCATGGAGAAAAGTTTACATCAAAGGGTGGATGGGACAAGCCTATCTTTTGTGTAACGGGCAGTACTGTCCCAGAGGTGAATACTTGTCATTCGCCAAAGGTTTTACTCAACGTGGATCTGAACCTTGTTCTCTGTAGGACGTTCCATATTTCCAAGCTCCGGCAGCTCGTCAGCTGCGGATGTACGACAACAATAATGACATGCAACTGACAACGCGACAAAGTCTTGTAGAGTCAGACATGGCCATCCACTTGGGCATTGTCAACGCAAATCACTGGGACATGAGGTACGACTTTTGGTAGATCTGTATCGCATCTTTCCCAAACACTGAACAACGATCATCTTCCTTAGTTTCTCAGAGTTTCCCATGATGCTCAAAGTTGGATCAAGCAAATTCAAACACCCGTTCCCAAAAACAGCCGCAGTCACAGCCATGTTCTATCTTGTAGCTGAGTTGGGACTATGTGATTAAACGATGGACGCTGCAAGAGTTTCTTGGGTAGGTATTGTACAGTTTGGTGGATTTTTATGGATATGTTCTTAGTTGCAGTAGTAGCATATTATCTTTATTATAATTATTACCGATGACGAACCTCATAATAATAATGGTCAAAGGTCATCACTAACACAACGATCCCCTGCATACTGTCATCACGTTGGGGTCAGTAGGGTGAGATATGCATCGGCATTGCACAGTTGATCATTCTTTGGGTTCCTGTGCACCTCAGCCGACATGTTCAGGCTGGCTTCTTTTCAGAACATTGAAACCCCCATGCGCAATGATCCTGTGGGCTAAACAGATAGGGTGTCACCTGAGCGTAAACAACAAGAAGGTTCCGAGTAGAGTGTGGGGCAATGTGTCCCCCTCTATATCCTCAAAAACCCCGGATCACATGTATTAAGGTTCTGTCGTGTGCGTCGAGGATTTAGGCAAAAACCTAGATACTATTTTCAGAATGGTACAATCGGATAAATATAACCCATCCCTCACAAGGACGCCTTGTTCCTGTTTAGTAACACAGTTCCGACGAACCCAAAGGTCAACATGAGATTGATTGATTATGGTTACTGAGAATAGCGGCGGACTGGTTTGGGCATTAAACAAACATAATCCTAGGAACAATACTTCCGCTGGCTGGTACATGATGAGCGCGGCATATAAGTAGAGAACAGGCGGTACGGCTTACCCCCTCACCCTTTCAGGAATCCAAAAGCAGGACCGGGCTGGTAATCATTAGTTTGTGCAAGTAAAGCCTACCATGCTTAGCCCGATACAACAACGAGAACAGGGTATCTTTTTGACGGGAATGGGACTGGCGTTCACCGTAGCGGCGATAATAACCTGGACAAGAAGGGTTAGCAAGAACAAAAAGGCAATCATCCAACTCTTCCCGCTGTTGTTATCGTTCACAGTGCAAATATTGATGTGCAGCAACGCCGTTGACCTCCTCGAAACGAAAATCTCAAAGAAAACGATGGTTACGGCCTTTCTATCGAGTAACTGCAATGACCTTTTGCAATACTGTTTTACGTACTTTACGGCAATCCGCTTGCTTTCCCTCATCCCCCCGCCGCAAGTACGCAATATACTGTTCGTCAAATTGTACTGTGCGGCAATCGTTGCGCTCTATTTTATCGACCATGTGGCCAGTTTCGTCGCTCTCGGAAAATCCGACATGGACTTGATAAAGTTCCTGTATAGTTGGGAATTCAACAAGCTCGGCAAACTCTCCACCCTAATCGGCTTACTGATGTACCTCGTCATGGTATTCAGTGTAGATCTATGGTTGATCATCAAGATCAGAAACTGTCAGAAAGCGATCCACAGCAACGTAAAAATCAGGTCCGGCCATACACAATCCCTCATCATCCTCCTAAGTTTGGCAGTCAAAGTTGCCGAATCCGTGTACAAGCTCCACAGCGTCATCGAATCATATACCGGAATGGACTCTTACATGAGAAGTCTAAACGCGGCGGTCGAGATTTGGTCCGTCACCGAGCTCGGTATAACAGTCGAAGAAATCTTGAATAGCGGCAAAACCAACAGTCTCAGTAAAGGAAATGAAACCCATGAGCAATTCAGCATTCAAAAACAGAATTCTGTCAAGAGGCTACCTGGTAGCACGGCTGTACTCCCATCAGTGGTGTCAAAGGAAGGAGTTTGTTAGTGATATTCGACACTTGAGAGGTTTTGTAAACAAAGAACGTGGAGGCACCGGACTGATAGTGGACCTTAGGAAGATACCCCCTTAAACAGACCCAACATGTACTAGACTATGTAGCAATAGAAGTATTACGCTGGTATGGAAGGAATATCCAGCTTGTTACCATTAACAAAACATAATACTACTGCCTTTATGGCAAATAACGCAATGTACGATGGGCTTTCCTTTTTGTGGTGACTGTGAAGGAACACCAATATATGGGAGACAGCACGATATTCGTATCCCCGCTTTTTTTTACTGACAAGCTGCATGAGGATTCGAACGTCCACAAGAGCAGGAACTAAAAGATTTAAACCCCATAATTGCTATAACTATTGTTCAAACCGTACAGACATACAGATCTGAATGAACAGTTCAAGAGTCTTGTAAAGAAGGTGGATTAGTGATTTTGTGGATTGGGTAGGCAAAGAACATCTTTACACGGCAAACAGCGCAACTGGCGTCGTTATCGCATCGTCAACTACTTCTTCCGCACTAATCCTTGGTGAATCAAAGGTAGCCAGGACAGTGTTCAAATAAAACGGGAGCGAAAGAATCATCCTGTTCGAACCAATCTCCCAACACCGCCTGAGCACCTTTGACATTTCGCAATATCGAGAGGAATTTCAACAGACAAGTTACATCCTGCAACTCGTATCGAATATTTGATGGAAACAACACAGCGGTTAACACAGTGGATGCGACGTTGAATGGGGGGGATCGAAAGGTCTTCCAGTGTGGGTTGTTGTGGTTGCATTCTTTTCAACGCGCTATTTTATAGCAATTGCCATGGTGTTATACCATCAAACCTGGTTTGACGCTGCTGTGTGTGCGGTTATCTGTCCCATCAAATATTCGATACTAGTTGTAAGGTGTTTACGGGGTTCATTTGGGGGTGTAGAATTCATTTGTGATATCAGTTTTACCCTTTCCCTAGTCATTTTTCCGAAACGGACGCAACAAACTCGTTGTCAATTGGAGCGAGCAGAGTCAATGAACAAGCAGCAAACATTTGGATCGCCCTCTGAGCAAGCCTTCAACAATGTCAGCCCAAAGTCTTACCCTCGTCCTCTACCCTACGCCTCTGTCGGTCCATCGGCTTCCACCCACGGGAGATAATATTCGGGCCGTAACCCCCTTTCTTGCACCAACAACGTTGATGAATTCTTTAACCATTACATCAAGTGAGCTCTCACTAATCGTACCGAGTCCGACAATACTCCCGAATCTGCCAGATCTTAAAACAGAAGCAGGATGGCGGGCTTTCCAAGTAGCTGGTACACTGGACTTTGCATTGGTGGGCATTTTGGCTTCTATAACGGCGCCATTGAAAGAAGCTGGGGTGAGCGTTTTTTGTATTAGTACTTTTGATACGGATTGGATTTTGGTGAAGGAGGATACAGTGGAGGAGGCTAGGAGGGTTTGGCAAAATGTCGGGTTTAATGTTTTGGATCATTTTTATCCACAAGAAGTGTCATGTAGGTAGAAAATTCCTAGCTAGAACTCACACCAAAATCAACCATCCCCTAAATACTACTTCACATAAACTCCATTTTCCTACTAATATAACCTTACGTACAACATAAATACAATTTAAATATAAATAAAAGAATCTGGTGCGGACGGTTATTAAGCACCCAGCAACGCTCGAACGCCTTGTGCGTAGTCTCCGTTTGCTTCAGCTGTTGTGACTTCCCAGAGCATAATGCCACCTGAAAAAGGTGCCGGTCAGAATCTTGAAAGCCAAGTGTTTGGAACTTGGCCAACTTACCAAATCGTGATGAAAATTCACTCTTCCATGTCCCAACAATGTTGGCCAAGCTAGGGGTCGATGCACCAGCCGCTTGGAGCGGAACAAAGCTGATCGGAGAGGCTGATGCTACTGACGCAGGGGCCCCGATTAGCAGACGGACATTCGGGTTGACCGAAACTGTGTTGGCCCAATTGAACCAAAACTCGACGGCATCGCGCCAAGGACGATTGGGATAAGCGTTGTTACCACAGCTGTGACGAGATTATCAGATAAAGTCAAAGATGATAAAAGTGAAAGCGCTTCAGAATACTTACGCATTATTGTACCACTGAATATTCAGCCAGTCAAAGTAGCCTTTGGCATAAGCAGTGTTCTGAAGGACGTCCGGGAAAAAGCATTGGGGTGCCCCTGCAAAGCCATTTTGAGCGACTATGAGCTTGCTTTTCCCAAGATCCAATACACAACCGACATGACTTACCGCTCATGTAGAATGTTCTTCCACTGGCCCGCATGAGCCTCACAATATCTTGCAAAAAGATATCGTAGCCAAAGTCGCTCCCGCCTTCCACATCCAAATCAAGACCGTCCAAAATGACGCCAGCGCCAAAGGGACGGACAAAAGCCGAGTCGGAACCTCCCAGAAACATGTTCCAGAGCGCCGTAGTGAATCGATTGACATCAGATATATCGGTAAAACCGACCGAAGCAATCCCGCCACCAAGAGAAAGAAACACCTTTTTGCCTAGAGCTTGGCACCGCCGGATAGCTTGGCCTACCTCTGGGCAGTTCAAAACTGTGCTTCCTGGGAAAGTGGTACCACAATGCCTGGATAAGTTGATATCGATTGTGTTTTCGGCGTTTTTGAAAACATTTGCAAAAGCAATGTTGAGAACGTCGTAGGGTCCTGAGCAATAAGCATCAATCTCGCTTTCCGGAGCAGCGGCGCCAGTAACGACAGGGTTGGAACTGTCATTGTCATTTAATGTTTGAGGAAACGTTTGACAGGAATGACAAAGGACCAACTAGTGACTTACAATGCAATGTTCTGTCCCCAGTATCCAACCAATAGTTTCCCTGCCTGAGCTTTGGCAATCAACGGGTCAGTATTGGGTAAGGAAATAGGCACTGGCGTTGATGATGGCGTTGCCGAGGGACTCGGAGTAGAAGACGGACGCTGAGACGCAGTACTAGGAGATAGAGATGGAGACGCAGACGGCGGAGTAGCACTCGGCGCTCTATTGGGGCTAGGAGAGGGTACAACCGATGGCACCAATGTTGGACTCGGGGAAGACACAGCCGGTGCATTAGATACTGCACTCGACTGAGATGAGATGGGTACTAAGGTATGCGGCGCCAGAATTGGGGTGGTTGTGACCGAACCAGAAGGTGACGGCGTAGGACCGGAAATTGTGGTCAAAGATATCGGTGGAGGGCTAATGGTCTCAACAGAGTCGTTATCCGCATCTTCCTCGTTTGCATACATCTTGAGTAGAAAGCGTGGTGGTTCCATGCCCATCGTATCCTCTGGACTGGGAAACTGGACGCAGAATCCAGTCGTCTTACTACTACCCGGCACAATTTCGGCATTCCAGTCTTGTGGGGAGGCAATATACTGTTGGCCGTCATCTGAAAGTTCCTCATAGTCTCCGCTCCAGCTGGTGTAGAGATCCGAGTTTGGTGGTAGTGAGATGGCAAGTCGCCAGGTAGCGGATGGAAGGCTTGCGGGATTGATGAGATGTAGGTGTGCGCAGAATCCGTCGTACCAAATCTTGAGAGTAAAATCCACCCCACCTATCCATGTGCTAGAGACTGTATCGGAAGGATACGTATGAGCTAAACACATTACACCGAGAAATATTGGAAAAGCGGCTACTTACTCTGATCATTGGCGACTTGAAACTGTATGGTCTCTCTGTATACCTTTGATTCCCATCGACTCTGGTCCTGCTCTTCGTTTTGATTGCAATCATCGTTCTCAGTTGTTGATTCATCCCACGTCCGCCCCGCCAGCGGTGCAGGCGCAGCCAAGGCTACGGCAACAAAAAACAAAAACACAACCAACGCAAAGTTCAATACTGCCCTTGTCTGGCGCATTTTGTGCAGTTCGTATGGTTAAGAGCGCTGGGAAAATGAAGTGACGGCAAACAGTTTGACGGGATGTTTTTATCGAAATGGCTGCATCTATATGCTGCTTCATTTGACCGCAACCGCAGTCGAGTGTTTAAGGACAAAGGCGGTGCCTCCTTGATATTGGCATCTTCCAGTAAGCTTTAAAATAACAAGTAACTAAACGAAATTTCTCTGTGTAGAAATGGAAGGAAAAGAAGGATTTTGGGATTCCTGCTGGGACGGTAATCGAACGCGCTCAAACTCCGACCGTGCTTGGCTGCGCGAATGTCACGAATGTCAATTAACCTTAACGCTGTTGACAGATTGTCGACAGATTCCCGTGGATACAGTGGCTTCATTCATAAACCCCGAAGCAATATCTAGTAATGGTCAATTTTAGGGAACTCGTCTACCCGGGCCTCAAAACAAGGATGCGCCAAGACACAGTAAAAAAGTAGATAGAAAGATGAGCGGTTTACGAAAGCAAGGCAAACTAAGGCGCTGCATCGCGAACTCCTCCTCGTGTATACGGCAATGAGGATTTCCTGCGACCGTCACTATAACAACCCAGCAAACAGCTAGTTTGCCGCTCAGTGCATCACCACACTCTGTTCCCGCGTCCCTCACCCACCACGAGTGGTCACTGCGAGGGGAAGGCTTCTGCGCATTCTCGTTTTGTGATGTTGCGCGCAAAATCGTATAACGCGCCTGAAAGAGTATGGGTTACGCGCTCGGTGATATCGGACGGGATCTGGGACTTTTACAATATCGTCAAAAGGCAGGTTTACAGTAAATCGTTGCCTCATTTCCACTAATATCGTCAAATGGTCTGTCTTTTTGAAATGGCTACACGGCAACAACACTAATGCGCTTGTTTGACAAACAAACTGTACGAGTCACACAACGCAGCGATATGCAAAATTATTACACGCTTAAAACCAATTTGGTGGATTTTCAGCAACCAGATACTGCGTAGCCATAACCTTGACCAGTAATAAGCGGTAAAATGCTGGTCGCTGAAAGGTTAAGCGTAACTTGCACTGCCACCTGGTTCTTCCCCCGACTTTCAGAAGCTTGCTAAGCCATGTCTTTTGGGGAGCACGGATTCGAATCCTGCCTGCGTAAGTGTTTATTAAATTCCTTTGTGATTTTTTTGATTTTGTTCCTTTGGTAAGGCCGCTATCCTCCATCCGTGAAAGAACTTTCAATCGCCATGAACTGGGCGTAGTGTTCTCTTTCCTTGCCGTGGTTATCAAGACATTTCCCCCGTGAAAAAAAACAATTTCACTTCTTGTCTCTACTTTTTTGTGTGTGTGCGTTTGATCACTCTTTTGTGTGATTGAAATCTGCTCAAAGAGGCAATGCGCAAACAACCAAAAGCAAGAAACGATTTGAACGATTTTCTCACTTTTTGTAATTCTTATCGCTCTCAAAATGAACTTTTTGTTGAGGAGGTCACATGTCTGTTGTATGCGCAGTCACCGTGGCCGCACATGAGATGCAAAGTTGCGTAACCATCCGATCACCAAAGTCAAAATTCCAAGCAGATAAACAAAAGGGCCGGATCACACAACGGTGATATTGCGCTACCCATATTTTTTGTTTTTCCTTCATTTGAGGCTTTCTCCGAACTTAACGATGGGAATATAAAAAGATGGAGTTGGGTCTCCGAATTCCCCCCCAGTAGACGACCCGCTTTCCTGTTGCTTTTCTCCCCAGCTGTGCTGGGTTTCTTATAGATCTCTAGAATAGACACATAGAAAAACTATTACCTCATATACACACATCTACCACAAGATGAAGGCTTCTATCGTCCACTCTGCTATTGCCATATTGGCTGCATCCGCTACGGTGCAGGCTGCTCCGCGTCAGCGCTCACCCAGAGTTGGGGAGATCATCCCTGGAGCGTTCTTTATTGAATTGAAGGAAGGTGGGTTATCCATCAAGATTGTCTCTGAGATGCGCCAGTGAGGCACGCGTACTAAATCAAACCTTACTTTCGCAGCTGTTGAAAACAGCTTGCTCCAAGTGCTGC